AGTTGTATTTGCTGCCCTCCACTTCCTTTTGCACCCCTACTTAGTGGGTACAAGCCAGCCCTTAATTGAAGGGGGGGACGGGGACGGGGACGGGAGACAAGGCTCATGAATTCTAACTAGTTATGTGAAACTTATATGCCACCAGATAATGTTAGTTCCACCCATGCCTAGTGTCAATGCATTGGGGCATATTTGTATAAAGGAAGAATCTATTCCCTCCTGCTATGGCATCAATAAATCCAAGTCTCTGGGAATGATATGGTTCCTTCCTTTCATTGATATAAAGCAGTTTTCAGAGGGCTGTCTGGGAGGGTAGGCAGCTTGGCAAACATTAAAATTTATGCTAAACATAGTATTCTTTGGCAGGTACACACTGATCCCTACTTCTGTGATCCTGGGCCTAGGGGGAGCCCCACTCTGGTCTGCCAAATGCACTTACCTGACAATTGCTGGCAATTCATATGCCCAGAAAGGAGGGAAAATTGGAAGAGATATCATCAACCAGTATTTTGGGGTCTTCTTTCTCATATTTCAGTCCTCCGGAGTCTGGGGAAATCTTATTTCCTCTCTGGTATTGGGGCAGTCTCCCCAACAAGGTAATACATACACACACATATATATTAAAATATGTAGTTAAAGGTCTGAAATATATCATCAGTTTCTTCCAACTTACCCTGTTTCTTCAAAAAAGGTACGCTGCTGACTTGGGGGGGAGTCTTTTAGATTTTACCTTTTATAACTGGGTTAAGAAAGCAGGCAGATTAATGGACTAATAATTTCATAATAAAATGCAAATTCTCATTTTAAATTTTAAAACTTGTAAATCAAAGTTTAATCAATGAAGCCTAATGGAACTGATTTTGAAATACTGAAACAAATCACCGAGGAAGAGGCAGAATTCCCTGCTGATTAGAGCATCAGACTAGAAACTGGGACTCTAGGACACCTATACATGTAATGGATCTCTGCTCTGACACATGCTAATTAACATGCATTGGAGTATCCATATTGGATTGGCCAATATGGAGAGGGTCCAGAGGAGGGCCACCCACATGATCAGGGGGCAGCAGGGCAGGCCCTACAAGGAGAGGCTAAGGGACCTGAACCTGTTCAGCTTCCAAAAGAGAAGGCTGAGAGGGGATCTAGTGGCAGTCTACAAACTAGTCAAGGGGGACCAGCAGGCATTGGGAGAGTCCCTGTTCCCCCTAGCAATCCCGGGTGTTACAAGAAACAACGGACACAAGCTAGCAAACGGTAGTTTCAGGATAGATATTAGGAGGCGGTATTTCACTGTCAGGGTGGCTAGGACCTGGAACCAACTTCCAAAAGAAGTGGTGCTGGCTCCTACTCTGGGGGTCTTTAAAAGGAGGCTGGACGGACACCTGGCCGGGGTCATTTGACCCCAGTACTCTTTCCTGCCACAGCAGGGGATTGGACTAGATGATCCGATCTCCTCAGGTCCCTTCCGACCCTACCAACTATGAAACTATGAGTAGACTCAGTTAATCGAGTCTGCTGAGAGTCTGCTGAAGCATGCTAATTAGCACTCTCCAGCAGCCTCCATGTTATATGTATTCAGCATCCTCGTGTCTCAAAATGGCGGAGGGGTCACTTTAACTAAAGCTCGTCGAATAAGCTTCAGTTAAAGCACCCCCGCTGCTATTTTGAAGGGCAGGACACTGAATACACATGACGCTGCAGGCACTTTAATTAGAGCAGCTCTAATTAAATCACCACCTCCCCTCCACTCTGGAGCACCTTGTGTCCTAAATCATACTGTACCAGGGAACTGTGTGGCTTGGACAAATTATTTCATTTCTCTGCCTCAGTTTCCCAATTTTTAAATTGGTATAACAAATCTTAATGAAATTGAATTAGTTAACATTTAGACATTACCTAATAGATAGTGTCGTAAGGTATTATGAACTCATATATCTTGAATGCACATTCCGGCCTAGTGCTTCACCCAAAGGTCAGGATATGATGGAAATCAGATGTTGAGCTTGCTACATCTGTTCTGGTTATTGCATGCCAAGAAACCACCAGGTCATATAGGCAAAATGACTTTTGTCTCAGAGTTTAAAATGTACGCCCGTAAATGTTCGGGGAATTGACAACATATTTTATCAGTATAAATTGTTGGTGCAAAATCTATGGCACAGAGCAGAAAGTCACACCTCCTGGGTCTGAATTTCCACTTCTTTGTTCCTAAATGAACAAATGAATGTAAAGCAATACCAGATCCAAGTGATGAGCAATTATACCAAGTGCAAGGCACTAGGGAATCTAGACCCCTCTCCCTGCGATTGAGCTGTATTGTAGCCAGAAGTAGGATAGCAGTTCATGTGTGGTTTATAACTGTCTTGGAGGAGTTTCCCGTAAGATTCTAAAGCCATCTCCAAAGGTCTCTACATTTATGGGTGTCTGTAGATGAAACAAGGGCCCTAAACTGAAGCAGTGGGTTTTTAAAAACACCGCTTCAATTTAGGGCCCTTTAAACCCCCATGTTGTGCACACACCCCACTGACTTACCTGCCTCTCTGGCAGCAGGGAGGGGAGGGTGAGCTGCCAGCAGGCAGAGTGGTCCCTGGGCTGGGGGTGGAGGATGGGCTGGTGCTTCCCTCTGTGGCAGCAGTGTCCCCCCCCACCAGGTGGCACCCACCCACAGACACCCAGCTTGGGTGATCCCGGGGGGCACCACAGCTGCAGAGGGAAGCACTGGTCCCTCACACAGTTCGGGCAGCCAGGCAGGCTCCAGGGAGGAAAAAAAAAATAAGATCAGGCTTGCCGCTTTTCTTGGATGGAGCCTGCTTTTCCAGGCTGCTACCAGGCTGCCTGCAGGGCTTCCTGCTCTGCCTGCAGAGCCCCCAAGCTGCACAGAGACCGGTGCTTCGCTCAGCAGCTATAGAGCAAACTCAGAGGAGTTTTAGTTTGCTGGGCTCCAAGTCATTTAAGGCACATTACACCACTGAATTTGCTACAGTGGCTGGAATTAATGCTCAATACACCACCAATGTGTGCAAACACTGACACCATTAAAGTGGTGCAAAAGTATTTAGCCTGTATTAAAGTGCCATGCATACGTGCCCCTCATTTTGTCTACACACAGCCTGGCTTGTTAGAGTGCTCAAGAAAAGTGTTGAATTAGCAACTCTCAAATCAGAAATCCAAATGTATCCACAATGCAATTATAGCCTGGAGAGTGGCCTCAACAGCTGGCCTCAGCTGTGACCTGAAGGGATATGCTTTGTGGGTGAGACAGAAGTGCAGTCTCCTGGCCATTCAATTTTTAGCACCTCTGAGGTTATCAGAAGGGGTAACCTCATGTGTTTTCCAACATGAACAATTATTTTTGTTGTAATACCTTTAAAAAGGTAAAATATGCTCATTTGGAATAAAACCTTTAAAATGCAGATCTCCCCCAATTACTTGTACTTATAAATCAGGCAAAACCCCATCACAAGAGCCCATCATCCCAGCACAGGCAGGACATTTCTGATTGTAATGGGAAGCCTTGTGACACAGGGAGATATTCCATGTCATGACACAGCATTGCAAACCATAACAAGGTAAAGCTACCACAGATGAGGCAGTTCCAAGGAAAGTCACCAGATGAAAACTGAAATATTCATATTCCCCTTCCATTCTTACCAATACCACTTTAGGCATGATTTTTCAGAGGTACTGGGCACAACAACATGTTCATTAATGTGTACTTGCTTAATGAAGTACTAACTACAGTTACTGCACAGTAGCACCGGTGCATGGGTTTTCAGTGACATTTACTGCACAGTAGCCTAATACCTCTGCACAGTAGCATATTTGCACAATTTTTACCTGGCACATTACTGCACAGTTATTAGGCTACTGCACATTAAGCGTCTTGTGGAGATGTGCCCACAAAGTACCCACTGACTTCTGGATGCATGCTACTAGCTATACTCACCCCACCACCAGATATGCATATGAACACAAGGAAAGGTACAAAGGTTTGTTTAGTGTGGGTGAAAACCTGATCTAGATTTACTTCTAGATTTACTTCTTTGTTCCCAAGCTTCAGAAATGCTCTAACTTCTGATTTTCTTCTCCAGGGCCCTTTGGAACTGTTACGAACAGTCAGAGTACAGTGTCTGGGAACTGATGAGGCAGATCAAATGCAGAGTTATTTCCTAATGGCCATTTACTTACACTTTCCATAAACTTCAAAAGTGGCCTAAAAAGTCAGGGTGAGAATGGAGCACTGACCCTCATCAGTTTAACATACTTCCTGAATACAATAGGATTTCTGAAGGTCCATTTATCCAGAGCTATGTAACTGTGGCCAGTGATAACAGCAAAGTTTTCTTTTTATCCACAATTTTAAATGTTATAGTAGGGTAAACACAGAGCTGTTTATGTGTTTATGTTAATAAACAGTTAGTTCATGTAGCTGTTGATTTGTTTGGAAGTGGTGATGAAAGCAAACCAAATTAAATGAATATATTATTATATAGTCATACAATAGGGCTAATTAAAAATGACCCTAGATAAGCTTTATTGCCATTTCTTGTTCTTGAACAAACTCTGCAATGAAGGCTGTTGAAACAATGTTATGCCTTCCTTTCCCTCCCTCTCCTTCCTGGCATTCATGACCCATTGAGGAACATTTCTGATAACTACTTTGCATTTATATAATGTGCACATGAGGAAATTGTATGTGATCAGGACACAGAGGTGTGTGTGTGTGTGTGTGTGTGTGTGTGTGTGTGTGTGTGTGTGTGTGTGTGTGTGTGTGTGTGTGTGTGGCTTGTCATGTGTTCAGCCCAGTACTTAAAGAATTAAGTCAAACAAAGTTCTTGACCCAAACTTAATGGAGTTGCTTTAGTTTGCAGTATATTATCCAATGACAATAAAATCAGGAAAGTTCTTTGCAGGGGTAAATTATGGCCAAATGTCACACAGATCAATCAGAATAAGAGTCTCAAGGATGCCTTCCCAAACAGCATGCTGCTGGCACATATAAATTCATACAGGAGAAGAGAAAAAAGAGTAACCCTTAGAAAGATTTGGAGAGGATTGTGTTCCCTCTTCTGATCTGTCAGGAGCCTCCAAATGGTTAGATCATCCTGCCTTAATGATAGGATAATTCCCTAGTGCCAAAGTGCTTTAAATACTAATCTCATTTATTAATAAATACTTTGCTCTTCTTAGAGTGTTCTGTTTCGCCCATTGTACTTGGTAAGGAATGGCAACCTTAACATTCTTTTACAGATGGGAAAACCAAGATGCAGAGAAGTGAGATGACTGCTCTGGGGCACTACGCTAAGGGGTGGATCAATATCAGAGTAAAGTTCTCCTAGTTCTGAGTTTGGTACCCTGTCTAACCGGACTCTTCTGCTCCCCTTTACCACTGATACTCTTCCCCACTCCAGCTGACCCCACCATGTAACAAATAAGTAGGAAACCTAGCTGGAGGTGGCAGTGGACCCCAGCTGTAGAATTCAGATCTAGATGTTCCACATGAGGAGTTCTGGTTTGAGGATTGTTACACAAAATGAAGTCTGTCTGCAAAGTCTGGGATCCAGATACAGACCTGAACTGCCAACTTCCAGCAATGGAGCTCCTGTTTGGAGCTGTAGCTATTGATTTAATTCCAGCTGTGTATATAATCCCTTATTCCAGAGGTTCATAGCAAGTGGCCCATTGGCCACATGCAGCCTGCCAGAACAATCCCAAAGCAATACAATAATTCATTAGTTAATGACTTTATTAAAATCAAAATGGCAAGACTTGGGTCCTTGCTGCATAGCAATGCGTTAATTTACATATGTGCTAGCATATGTGATCCAGTTTCCTGCTCTGAGGGCTTACATTCTCAGAGCATATCCTAGTATTGGTGTCCCTCCGCTGGAAAGTGTACAGAGCAAGTGGCCTTGGTAAAGATTGAGTTGTGAATGCCTGACTTACTCTGTATTCTAGACCCTCTGCTAAGCCAAACTTTAACTTGTGAAATCAGACTTTGGGTGGAAGTTTAAATGAGTGATATACCACTGTTAACTGCAACCATTTCTTCTTATTGCCTTGAATATAGTCTGCACTTATCTGCATATGTTCTACTTTTGCTTTGATTGTTACTGAACTAGTGGAAATCTCAGAAGAAGACCTGAAATGTTGTGGAGCATATGACTGCATAACAGCTGCTGCAAATAACACCACTGCATTTAAGAAGCCAGAAATGACCTTAGTCTACACCATGTTGGGTATCTACACTGGTATGTGTCTTGACTAAACTTCATTTATTGGGAATTAGATGCAAGTGGAATCAGGGGATAACTTTGCAGAATAAATTCCAACTTCATACTCTAATCTGAGTTGATGAAAGGTGGAAGCGTCTCTCCTCAATCGTCTATAGCTCCCTCTTGATAACCCTGAATGCCTCATGCCAACTCTGCATGTCTTCAGTCCTTAAAGCAGGGCTGTCCAATCAGCAGCATGCAGGCTGCAATCAGGTCCAAAGGGTAAGCCTTCAACCTGCCATACCACATGAGCCCTTCCCTGTGGCCTGCACAGCATACAGCCCAGAGATGTGTAGCCCATACAGCATGTGGCTGGGGGCTTGTGGCTCCCAGTCATGTTGCACAACCCTGACTAAAAGCCTTGAAGCCTTTATATTTACTTTTTGACTTAGAAAAAAATCAGTTAAACTGTTTAAACTCCACCCAGTGTTTATTTTGGCAAAATCTAAAGCAGGGGTGGCCAACATGCAGTATGGGTGCCACAAGTAGCATAGGCAGCCTCTGTATGTGGCATGTGGCAGACTGGGGAGGAGATGGGCGGCCTGGCTGCAGTTCAGGCACAGCTTCCAATCAGAGGGGAGTTGTGTTACTGCAGGGCAGCTGCAGACTCATGCTGCCACCCCTTCTCCCACTATGCTTCCCTCCTGGCCTTCCAGTTGTGGTATGGGTGCAGCTTCCAGTCAGTGGGGAGCTGTGCCACGACTGGGTAGTTTCCACCTATGCCCACACTGCACCTGAGGGGCAGGGGGTGGGAGGAGTGGTGAGAAGTGGGAGCAGAATGGACACAGTTTGCAGCTGTCAGCCATGGCACAGCTCCCCACTGGCTGGAAGCTGCATCTGCACCACAGCTGGGGAATGGGGGCCTGCCTGGAACAAATTGTAATGGCAAGGCAGGATTGCAACTGCCTGTAAATTTACAGACAGCCTGTAAAGAAAAGCAAGCTAAAAAAACCTGTCCATAAAGTCCATAAAAAATGCAGCCATCCCTAAAAAGCTAAGCAACTGGGAATTTGACTGAAACTCCATGGTCTGAATGAGCCTGGATATAATGCTGAAAGACAAAAAGAGCAGAGCAGCTCCACCTGGTGACTGCAGGAGCACAGCACTCTGCGGGGAGCATACAGAGTTTTGTAAGCCCAAAGGAGCCTTCTTCCTTCAGCTATGAGCTGCTGCGCTATCCCATGCCTGCCTGTAACACTGCTGGGTCACAGGTAGGCAGACAGTAAGGGCTCCTATACACATGCAGGAAGCCTGCTCTGATGCACTGTAATTCCAGTGCTTTGGAGCAGACTCGATTGAAAGTCTGGAATGGAGTTGGTTATTTATATTTTAAACACATTTTAATTGCCTGAGGTAAAGAGAGTCAGATTGAGATACATTATAAAATTATAATATAATATACTTATAAGTTATTTCACCAATCAACACTACAGTTTTAAATGTGTGAGTTAAAACATGTGAGCTAATGGTTAAAGTATTTACAAAATCTTTTTATCTTAGCCCAAGTAAGTCCAAGCATGCTTAGAGAACATCATTCTTCACATAGGGTCCTGCCTTCAAGCCTCTGCAATACCTCAAGGATGCAAGCAGAGTTTCTTCCTCAGACCAAAGAGAGAGAATTAACTACTTCCCTTTCACCCTTGTGCTGAGGTTTACATCTCAATGCATCAGTACTACCAGCAGCAATATACTGCATATGTGACCCACCACTGCACATGAAAGGTGCTCGTAGGCTCCAAGTTACTGAAGTAAAGTCAGATTTGGAGTCACTGTAGGCCTGATTGTGCTGTTTGAATATAGCACATTATAAGGCATAAAAGTCTATTGACTTTAGTCTGGCTAGCTTTTGCCAATATATTATTTTGCTGGATCTAAGATCAGAGTCTGGCTGCTGAGGGGGAAAAGGACAGTGTAGGAAAACATTCAAAGCAGCACACAAAAAACAATGGGAAACTGCTCCGAATTTATTCTTTCCCCTCCAGTGTTCCCCTCAGCATACACTGGTCAACCAGAAGCACTAGAAAAACAGGCATATTTTATTAGAACCAAAGAACTACACTGCAACCTAGAGGTGCTACTGATAGCTGTGTATGGGGGACTTGGGTTTGAGCTGCAACCTATTGATCCAAGGTCCTAGGTAGCTGGTGCAGTCAATGCTAAACCCTATGCCACCACAGCTACTCTCTTATTGTCACCTGAGCTGCAGTCCCACCACAGGGTTGCCCTGAAGATATATTATATATCACAAAGACCATGTTTCATTGGCAGCCTTGGGTTTCATTAGATTAAAAGGATTGTGACACTCCCCAACCCCAAAATGAAGTCACGTGCACCTCTGAGACACACTCTCAAGGTACTCTCACACTTTCAGGGTTGCCTTTCTGCCCCAAGCCCCTCTCTGCCATCTGCTGTTTGACCACTAAGAACCAGCTGAGATGTGCCAGAGGCCCTTTTCTTGGTCTGTGGTGCCTCCGCTTTACCCATTTCACCTAAATCTTGCCAGTTCTTGGCAGAGTGTATTTTGCCAGCTAAAAGAATCACACCATTGTCCGATCATGTGCTCAGAAAAGATAGATCCCCCCTTCCTTGGAAGAAACTTGCCTGTATGGTCCAATGCTCTGGAATCACAGGACACCTATACACGTGTCCAACACCTACTCCCACATGTTCTAACTCAAATGCTCAATTAATCAAGTCTCCTGGAGCGTTCTAATTAGAGTGCTCCAGCAGCTTCGGTGTCATATGTATTCAGTGTCCCCACATTTCAAAATGGTGACAGGGCACTTTAAAGCATGTCAGACAAGCTTTAGTTAAAGCACCCTAAATATCTGTTGTGTTGGGAGGATTGATCTAACTCATGGCACTTTTTATGAATTGCCATGAGTTAGACGTGGGAGCTGCTTTTCTGTCTGTGCCCTGAGACCCTTCTAGGTGCCAAAGAAACTCATGGTTTATCACTTGAAAGTCATTATCATGTTGTATAATCCCAGCCCTAGTATGTTATATAAGAAACACATTTTATATCAAATAAAACAATTCATATAAGCATAAGGATGATAAAGCTAAATATAAAATCATAGAATCATGGAAAATTAGGGTTGGAAGGGACCTCAGGAGGTCATCTGATCCAATCCCCTGCTCAAAGCAAGACCATCTTGACACTATCTCTCTGTTGAAACTACACATGCCATATCAGTAAAACAAACTCAAGAAAACATCCATGACATTCCACAAACTCCAGAGACATTAAACTCAGTGGAGACTGCTACCCTCTAACTACTGAAAGGCAAAAAACCTGTTTTGTGTATTTGTCACTCAAAGTCATTGTATACCAATGAGTAAAACTCTTGAAGCACCTGCCTCAAAGTGGAGTAGATTAAATCTCCCCTGCTTCCTCTGGTTAAAAGGGCTTCTGACAACTGGCTATGTAGCTTTTCATCTTCTGAGATAGTTGTACATGCTTTTATATATAGCTCCTTATGGAGTTGTAGCATGGAATTTGAAATACTCCACTCTAAGGATGATACAGTCTAGAAAATTTTCCAAGCATCAATTTTTCATTTGTTGAGCATTTCTTCCACACCTCCAGCTGGAATATGTTGAAACTAATGCCTTTCTGCAAATTTTGACTTTGGATTGTGAGTTTTTAAATCAATTGCTAACATATACAGTACTCTCTTAGACTTTGCACATGCAAAATGAATGGAATCCTCCTTCTACTAACCTCACAACCACACAGCCTCATTTTCTACTTAAGTTTTTTATAAGACATAGGTACTGATTGATTGATAGATTTATTCATACATTCATTTCATTTTTATGCTGCTTTTCCCAGAAAGACTCAGCATGTCTTACAATGTCTTTGCCCACTTTGCGAGAAACCAAATATCTGAATAGTTCAGATTAGTTTATTCTCAATTTCTTCCCTGAATATATATTTGGCAGATCTTGGCTAGAGAGAATAATAGCTGTTGTTCCTTTTTTAATCAAAATGTGGAACTTTCTAATTATTCAAACATAATCCCATATAAGCCCTCCTATGATTGCTACACTCCTTAGTTCCCTGCAGCAAATCTATTGCATTACTATACATCAGAAATAACTTACAACACTTGTGGGTACACTTCAGGAGTAACAAAGAACTTGTAACCTCTTTTGAGTAGAATATAATACTGTGTTAAAGAGCATATATAAACATTGAATAACCAAATAATACTGGGTTTGGGGGCTTTTTGCTATGAACCCACTACTGTACTTTAAAATGAAAAGTACAAGCCACTAACTCTGGGTTCAGAGATATGCAGATGCATATAGAAATACAGTGGCAAGCTAAGCATGTGTAGAGGGCCTGATTCTTCTCTTGCTCTATAATGCCATTCGCTTCAATGTTTTACTTGCACTTACTATGAGTAAGAGCAAAGCCAGAGGTAGACCCTACATTTTTAATCAAGAAAACAATTGCAACTACTGTATTGACACTATCAAGGGGGAGGAAAATGGGACCTTATATGTATAAGACCACTTCTGGTTGTTATTATGCAACATATTCAGTTGTTGGCAATTTATGCTTGTGGGTGAACAGGTGCAAGGTAGTATAATTCATCTATCAAGTTCCACAGAATTGATGTCCTTCATAAATCAACACGTCCATGGCTGGTTTAGGCAAATCAGAAAGGAGCAATCCAGAGTGGTCTCCAGCATACCAATATATTCTACTTCCAGCGAGTTATTTTCCTTTTCGCACATCCAAACATAAATGATCATCCGTTGATCTAGAGATTGTTGACAGAAGAAGAGGAAGCTTTTAATGCTAGCCTCCCTGTGACCTCTGACTTGACCTAAAGGGATGAGAGATCTCTCTCATGAATTAGTGCAGCTGGCCTTGTGGCTGTCATAACATACACACCCCAATGAAGCAAAGGGAATTTGTGTGGCATACAACTAAATATAGAGGATTTTTATGTACATGGTAATGACCTTTACACTGGATTTAAATCAGGTTCTCTCCTCTGACAAAACATCTGACCCAGAACTTTGCGCTAAATCAGAATTTAAAAAAAATCATCTGCCCACCATTCCCCTGGCTACTTCACATTTTCTCATTTGTCTTGGTTTTTCAGGTAGCGGCATCCTGGCTGTGTTGCTGATTGTTACATTTCTGGATCAGATTAAAGCCAATGAAGTGGAAAGTGAAAAGGAAACAATGAAGAAAGAGTCCCCTTTGTCCTTGGTCCTAGCAACTTTCAGGCTTCTTAAAGATAAGAGACAATGTTTCCTTATCCCATTGACAATGTGGAGTGGGTTTGAACAGGGATTTCTTGCTGGTGATTATACAAAGGTGAGAGTAAAAATTAAAGTCTATTTTTCCTGGTCTTTCTATAATCCTCCTTTGCTTAATACTATTTCATCAGTAAAAAAATGCATACTCAATAGCAGGGATAACTTTTGGGGGGTAAAGCTAAATTACTGTCTCTTCCTACTTGAAATTACTCTGAGTGACATCATTAAATAGGAGAGAGTGGCAATGTGTGTGCCTCCTGGGACATCATTAAGAAAAAATACCTTAAATTATCTTAACTCATACATCATTGGAAGCTACACCCAAGTAAATACAGAGTTAAGCTCTTTGTTTATAAAAAAAACAAGGCAGGAATAAAGCCAGAAGTCTGAAATCATTCAGAGGCTAAGCTTTGTTGTATCTTCCTTCCAGTTTCTCCAGAGCTTGTTTAAGTGAAAGTTAGCAGACAAGCACAGAGTTATGTTTTGGAAACCTTTATGCTATGGGTCAGACCAAAAAGGTGGCTGGCAGTAAAACACTAGGTACTTGCATGGCCTATTCAAACCAGGCATCCTGAAGTGATCAGGAAGAGTCAGAACCAGCCTTCCTCACATGGGTTCTGAAACGTCATGACATCCCACACAAAAGGCTTATTCCCTAGCTGTGCACTCAGGCTTCAAAGAATCAATAGTAGGGAGAGATATGAACACAGTGGGCTGCTCATATGAAACTGCAGCTTTCAAGCTCTATGAATATCCAGAGGGGGAAAGAGCCTCCTTGAAAGGCTCAGAACTAGCTTTCTGTGGCCATTTAAATGATTGGTACTTATATATGAGATCTGCTGACTTACCTGGCGTGAACCTGGAGGGATGTGGGCAGTGGAGTCCCCCAGGGCTCGGGCCTGGGGCCTGTACTGTTCAACATCTTTATCAGCGATCTGGATGTGGGTGTGGAATGCATGCTGTCCAAATTCACTGATGACACCAAGTTGTGGGGCGAGGTGGGCACGCTGGAGGGTAGGGACAGAATCCAGCTAGATCTAGACAGGTTACAGAGGTGAGCAGATGAGAATAGGATGATATTCAACGCAGACAAGTGCAAGGTGCTGCATCTAGGGAGAAGGAACCAGCAACACACCTATAGGCTGGGAAACAACCTTCTTGTCAACACGGTGGGAGAAAGAGATCTTGGAGTCATTGTTGACTCCAGGATGAACATGAGCCACTAATGCAAGGAAGCGGTCAGTAAGGCTAACCGCACCTTGTCGTGTATCTACAGATGCATTAGAAGTAAGTCCTGGGAGGTGATCCTTCCTCTCTATGTGGCGTTGGTCAGGCCACAGCTGGAGTACTGCGTCCAGTTCTGAGCACCACACTTCAAGAGGAATGTGGCTAGCATTGAGAGGGTCCAGAGCAGGGCCACACGCATGGTCAAGGGGTGGCGGGTCAGGCCCTACGAAGAGAGGCTAAAGGGCCTGACCCTATTCAGCCTCCACAAGAGAAGGCTGAGAGGGGATCTGGTGGCCATCTATAAACTCCCCAGGGGGGACCAGCGGGAATTGAGGGAGGCTCTGTTCCCCCAGGCCCCCCCCCCCCCGGGGTTACTAGGAATAACGGCCACAAATTGTTAGAGAGAAGGTTCAGGCTGGACATCAGGAGACATTACTTTACAGTTAGGGCTGCCAGGCTCTGGAATGGGCTCCCAAGGGAGGTGGTGCTCTCTCCTACCTTGGGGGTCTTCAAGAGGAGGCTGGACAGATATTTGGCTGGGGTGTTATGACCCCGGCACCTGTTCCTGCCCGGGGCAGGGGGTCGGACCCGATGATCTGTTTAAGTCTCTTGTGACCCTAAGTACTACGATACTATGAATGATGCTGTTTTATGGAGACTAGAGTCCTGATCCTAGACATCATCATCTTTTAAGCTAGACAGAAAAAGGCAGAGAATTCTTTGTGCCACTAGTATCAAGATTTATGTTGGACGAGAAGCAGCACTCCAGATGCAATGCCTGTTTCTTCACCAAATGCTACTGACTTGGCACTAATCCAACTGGGAACTAGACAGAATTGTTGCTGCCAAAGGCTGAATACGGCAGCATCCAGGAGACCTGACAGCAAAATGCACAACTGTTTTATTAACAGTACCTGCCCCATTGAAATAGTCACATCTCAGAATTGGGCGCGCACAACCCTCAGCCTCAGAAATGCATGGAAGTCAGTGTGAATAATAATGCCCCCTGTGTCTCTTCCCTTTTAGTCCTATGTGACCTGTTCCCTGGGAATACATTTTGTCGGTTATGTGATGATCTGTTTTGCAGCTACAAATTCGCTCTGTTCTATGCTCTTTGGGAAAATTTCCCAGTTCACTGGAAGAAAAGTCTTGTTTTCATTTGGTAGGTAAAGACCGCTCTGAGGACTGCTTGCCTCATTGGGTATGTCAAATCCTGTGGCTCCCTTCTACTATATGTCAGATGCTGGACATCATGCTAAATGCTACCCATTAGATTAACATCAATCTAGAAGTGTACTCTTTGTACATTGGAGGAGAGGAGGCTAAGTTAACTTGCACATTTAAGGGTATAGACCCAGGTACATTTGGAGCCATTTCAAAAGGGGAACATTTCAAAAGGGCAGCAGCTAGCACATTCTAATTGTTATGTGTGGCCAAGCTAGGAATATAGCAAACCAGATCCAAATTTAATACTGTATGAAGCAGTGAACTAGCATCTTTGAATTGCTGAGGGACTCAGTTCATCCCACCTTTGATGGCATGATATACATCCAAAGACTGAGCTGTTAGTTCCTTAGATCTAATATGACTGACGACAAATGATCTTTCATGATTGGGCCAAATCCTGATCTTGTTGAAGTCAACTGGCGTTTCACTGTTTGCATCAAAGAGATCAGTAGCTCCCTCGGGACAATCTCCTTGCTTTTTTGATCAAAAACCTTGAGAACCTTAGGTGATACATTGTTATGTTGCTGTTCCCAGGAAAAGTAAATCTTAGGCTGCAGCAGCCAGTCTGATAATTGCAGGACAAGTTTTGAACATTGGTCCTGGGTTTTAATTTCCAATTGTTTTGTACCTGGGAAGAGAGGTAAAATAAGAGTGAGTGAGAATGGGCTATACCAGTGCCTCATTTTAGATAAGGAAGGGGCTGCATAAGACCAAGAAACCTGTAGGATGCTGTGTGGACAAGCTATTTTTACTAAGCTATTTTTAAGGCACTTTCTTACCACAGAACAATGTAAAAACCAGGTAGTCCCACTAAATAATTTACCAGGACAGAAGGCTGTTGAGGGTATTTCTTCCCTTCTATCTCAGTATCTGAAAACCAGACTCCATTTCTATTTGAAGAAATAGTATTACAATAAAAGTCCTTAACTTTGACGCTTAGAACTTTACAGGTTCTAAGTGCTCAGTTTTCCTGTGTCTTTCCCTTTTGCACATTTCTCTACTTTAGGTGACTCATTTCACAAATAAAGAAAATACAGACTCTTATTCTCATCCAAAAGCTCATCCAAAACCCCTGAGTTGTTCTACTAGCTTTAAGGGACTTTGAATCAAACCCACATGAAGTGATAGAAAAAAATCAGTAATGCATTTGCATTCTGTGTCTAAACTGAAAAAACAAAATGGTATCTGCCCTTCCAACAGACAGCCAAGGTGATCTCATTCATTGCTTCTTGCCTTTGGAAAGAAATCTATTATTTAATAATGGTTTGTGATAGAGACATATATCCCTTCAGTTACCTCTTTACATCCTTTATAGCAAGTTTACACAGTATTAAATTATGCCTGAACGAAGTACTGCATTATCTTATATTTTATGTAATTATAACCTGAGGAGTGTAAATGTTAGTGAACCAGTGGGGCTCTGACCTTGTTTTGTGCTGTAGCTAGCTGAAGACTCTGAACCTGTCTCTCCCATAATAGCTCCAGTTCATAATCACATCTGATTATTTTTTCTCTGCCTCCTTCCTGTACATGCAGGTACACTTATAAACCTTTCCTGTATAATAGCCCTATTGCTGTGGAAACCTCGCCCTTCACAGTTTGCTGTGTTCTTCATATTTCCTGCTCTTTGGGGCATGGCTGATGCCATCTGGCAGACGCAAACTAATGGTAAGTATCTGTGACAAGTAACTGACTCTCTCTGAGAGATAATATTCTGTACATTCTTATTTGTATAGTCTTATACCAGGCAGTTTGTCTTTTTAGAAGGAACAGGTAGAGAAAGGCGCATTCTTGTCAAAAGTAATGGGCAATCAGGATAACTCTTTGAAATGTTTCTAAAAATCCAGAAGAAAAATAAAAGGTTCAGAGACAATGAACTTAATATATTGTAAAGGAGAGGTGGTATTATTGTGGGAGTATTTTGTCATCTTAGATAAAGAGCTGATGCAAATACAATAAAATTAAGAAGTTAATAAATTCATTCTGCTAAGAGTTAAGAAACTTCTTTTATATAAACATGGGCAGATGTGCAACCTAAAGAAAAAAAGGTTGCAACAGGAAAAGACAAGAAAGAATCATTGGCTATATTCACTTGAGAAAGTACTTTCTTGTCTGGTCTAACTGCTAACAGTCATAGCAGGCCTGCTGAAGGGGGCTTATACACTTTCTATGTGGAGAAAGCAAAAGTAGGCCTGTCTTACCTAGAGGCACCCAGGATCTTACAAGCAGGATGAGAAAAGGATGCAATTGCCAACCATATAGGGGGAGGGAGAGAGGGGGCAGAGAACAAGTTGTACCTCATACTGGTCAAGAGTGAGTGAGTGTGGTTACTGAGCATTGTGGCATTATGACCTGGTTAACCACTGATATAATACTATCGCAGGTGCCACCTTCTTTCCTAAGCACCTGGAAGATAAATCAAAGATTATATTAAGTGTTTGTCCAGGAAATACAAAACCTGCATTTCTTTCTCCTATGCATCTGTAGCTATTCTGTAGCTCAAAGTAGAAGCAAAATAACTCAAGGTGTGCATCTTCGCAGCGTGGCATGTCACTACAGAGTGATGAGACTAGACCTTCATGGAGGAATGTGAGATTGGTGCTCAGGAATGCTGCATCATACCAGCCATACGTGTGGCATGGGACTGATCCTCCTCTCACCTACATTCCTCTCACAAAGGGGTTACACCACTGACTATACTGTTATTATTGCAGATTTAGAGCTGTGTGACTTGAGATTCAGGCCTTTACATTAGTAGTTGAAATCCTGTAGCCCTTACTCTGACAGATTCTTATTAATGTCCATCGGGTTCACAGCAGATCAAAGACTGAATAAAAACTAGGTAAAGCTATCAGGTTGCAGTCCACTATTAAGTCTAATGGAATAGTCAAAAGATTTAGTTTGAGTTAAGGATATTTTCTACTGATCAAGAGTTCCCCCTTGAGGATGTTAATTAGAACTGGACAAACCCTTTCACCGTTATCCATTTCACCCAATGTGTGTATTCCTAGGTGTACGTGTGTTTGTTCTTAGTTATTTTCAATGAAATCTGTTCCATTTTAGAACGTGCCATTACCCTCTCTTATCTAACTAAACACTGCTCCCATAAGTCTTTCCTGATAATAATTATGATTCCTAATAACAATTGCATGGCACAGGACAACCAGGTACAGAGCAACAAAATAAAATTCTTTCCAGCCTGACGTGCTGCATTAGAAAGGATATGAATCAGTCTGGTAACTTTGTGGAACTAGAATTCAAGTTATTTACAGCAGTTCCACTATGTACCCATTCTTCCTTGCAGTGCAGGGCAGGATGAGGATGGGACTGAAGTGAAAAGGCAAAAAGAAAAAAGGTGGAGGGGGGAATTGTGGATTTCACTTACAAAATGTAGGACTTGGTGCTGCCACCAGTATTCATCATGGAAGCACAGTGCACACTTCTTAGTGCAGGCTTCTGGTGTATCCCAAAGCCAGGGTGTATCACAATTGTGACACAGACAAACGCTTGTCAGCGATCCAAATGAACACCAAACTTTTATTCCTGTGTAACCCATTCATCTCAAGCATTATAGTTTATACTGCTAGTGCAGCCAATCCGCTGAATTCAGCTGTGAGAGCCACTTGAATTTCCCACCACCCTGGGAAGGCCATTCCCCACCAAAGAAACCAAGGGAAAAAAACCCTCCTAAAATCCAACCCCTTTATCTAAGGGGTTATGAATGTTATCAAATCCTCTATTAATACTCACTTCATTAATCCAGAAGCCTGATCTTTTTCACCCAGGCAGAAATATTAACTATGGGCATAATGACCTAGTTTCTTGCTACTAAGACTTCATTCCTGTTATAAAATGTACTACGGAACATTTGCTTGCATATTATGATGGATTAGCACATAATTGACCCTACACTACATTCATTCAACTCAATGACCTAAGTAGATTTTGTGAGACATTATTAGCCTAGATCTTTCATCATGCTTGTTTACCGAGTCGCTAATTTGGACAATTCAATAAGTGTCCCTTTATAATTAGTAGGAATTAGCGATATTCTACATACAGATGGTACTGTTCCCCTTAGTGAAGCTGAAAGTCATACAGAGTTCACCTGATTCTTGGGAAATATGTTCTTCTGCAACTGTTCTGAATGACTGTGTACATTACTGTGTTGTTTAATACAGAAGCAGGACTGCAGTTCATGCATGCTTTCCATCTACAGCTGGCTGCATGGATATGCCTACTTAACTGTAATGACTGATGCTTGCTCCATCATCTAAAAAGCAGCTCCCCCCTTTCTCTGTTCTACGTTCCCTGCCAACATGGCCTCAGGGGTTGAGAATTCCAGCCTGTCACCTAGTGAAGCTGCTAGTCACCTACCATGAAAATGAAATTGGGCCCATTGTGATCACTTCAGCTCTGAGCATGTGAGCAAGTAGGCTATTTTGCTGAGCATCTAATTCAACTAATACCTAGGCATATTGTGTGTATTAAGGATAATAATTGCTATTCTTTTCGTGTGGCCCAATAAGGTAGATTTTTACCAACACACTCAAAAAACTGATTATTGCAAAGAAACACATCCCCTTTGTGATTTAATCTGAACTTTGTTGTGGCCACGTAGGTTGCAGCTGAATTTTTGCTCTTCCCTGAATTAAGGCATTGCTGATCTGTTTGTTTGTTTTTTAACCTATCATGGAAAGCTTGAATTTTTACCCCTGGGACAGCCATGGATGTGAAGCCCCCCCTGCATTTCCAAAGGACCAGGTCAGGTCCTCAGAAGCTAAGCTAATTTATGTCATGTAAATAGTATAATGCCAATGAAGAGCTGCTTATGTTTCCTTGATTATCTTTCTCAGGCCTGACATGGGTTACAGTAGGTTGGCTGCTTTTCAACCTTGCCCTGTCACAGACTTCTTATTTGCCTCAGTTCCTCAGCTGTAAATGCATCTCCTGGATATTATGCTGCTGGGGAGAGCCAGAGCTTGCTCCTTAATAATGGAAAGAGATGATTTCAGCAGAACTGTGTGTGCAAGTCTACATGGAAAGCTGCTCTGCTTGTTCTTTGAAGGTCCATATGGACTTGGCTCAGCATCCCTCAGATATCTTACATTGAGGTATTAGGGTGATGAGAGCCATATAAACAGCTGCTGAGAGTTTTGCACATTCTAGTCCTCATTCTGTCCTACTGATTCACTTAACTCTGACCTTCTCTCCTTTCCTTCATATACTCTCACAGCTCACTATGATAATCTTCTCCTCTGAAGCTCCTAGATTCTAGAATAAACCCCTGCTATCTCCAATCAACACAAAACATCCAGTCTTTCTTGTCTGTAACTAGCATGCACCTGAGAGTCTTGAAGAAGCTGGCAGACATCATTGCACACCCCCTTGGCAAAGATATTTGAAAATTCGTGGCGCTCAGGCGAGGTCCCAGGAGACTGGAAAAGAACCAACATGGTGCCTATCTTCAAGAAAGGGAGGAGGGATGACCTAGGGAATTATAGACCAATCAGTCTGACATCCACCCCTGGCAAAATCCTAGAGAAAATTGTCAAGGGATCCATCAACACCAGACTACCAGAAGGCAAGCTTCTGAAGGCCAGCAAACATGGCTTTGTGACTGGCAGATCTTGCCTAACCAACCTCATGTCCTTCTATAACCAGGTGACATGAGCCCTGGAGAAGGGAGATGATGTGGATGTCATATATCTGGATTTCAAGAAAGACTTTGACCTAATTCCCCATGATGTTCTCATGGCTAAGCTGGGGAACTGTGGCCTTGATCATCTTATGATCCAATGGCTAGGTAACTGGCTACGGAGTTGGACCCAAAGAGTACTAGTTGACGGGAGCAAATCAACATGGCACAAGGTGACCAGCGGAGTCTTTCAGGCCTTGGTACTTGGGCCAATACTCTTTAACATCTTCATTAATGATCTGGAGTTGGGAGTCAGATGCAAACTGGCAAAGTTTGACACCAAATTATGCGGAAGGGTGGTCACGCTGCAGGACAGGCTGGGGATACAGGCTGACTTGGACATGCTCTCAAGATGGGCTGACCAAAACCTGATGGCCTTCAATGCAGAGAAGTGTAAGGTACTGCACCTCGGTAGAAAGAACCCTCAGCATACTTACAAGCGCAGCAGTGCTACGCTCGCTAGCACCATGACCGAAAGAGACTTGGGGGTCCTGATTGACCACAAGATGAATATGAGTCACCAATACGATGCTGTGGCTGGCAAAACAAACTAAACTCTGGCATGCATCTACTGATACATCTCAAGCAAAACCAGGGATGTCATCCTCCTGCTTTACTCGGGCTTACTGAGGCCGCAGCTGAAGTACTGCATCCAGTTTTGGGCCCCCCACTTCAGGAGGGATGTGGAAAAGCTTGAGAGAGTCCAGAGGAGAGCCACTCATATGATCCAAGGCCTGGAGGGCAGGCTATACAAGGAGAGGCTGAGGGATTTGGGACTCTTCAGTCTGGAAAAGAGAAGGCTCAGGGGGTACTTGGTAGCAGCCTACAATTATATAAGAGGAGTACATCAGGACCTGGGAGAACATCTGTTCACCAGAGCTCCCCAAGAGATAGCAAGATCTAACGGCCATAAACTCCAGGAAAGCCAATTTAGATCAGACATAAGAAAAATGTTCTTTATGGTGAGTGTGTCCAGGTTCTGGAACAGACTCCTCCCAGAGGTGGGGCAAGCACTGACTCTGGACTCTTTCAAAAAACATCTGGGTATTTTTCTTGCTGGGATCACTTGATCCCAACTGACTTCCTGCCTATGGCAGAGTGCGGGGGCTGGACTCAATGACCTCACAAGGTCCCTTCCAGCCCCTAATGTCTAAGAAATCTATGAAACATATGTATTATTTACCACTTTCACTGTATATTTAGTCTCATATAAATTTGTATGACCCAGATTCACATTTGTAAGTCTCCTGTGATTGACTGTTTACCAGGAAGAGAGCTGAGTTCCTGTTGTAGTAAACACAGAATATGCCATCATTTCAAACTTGCCATCACAAACGTTGTTTCTCGTTCCTTGCAGCTCTCTATGGAGTTTTATTTGAGAAGAACAAGGAAGCTGCTTTTGCTAACTATCGTCTCTGGGAATCACTGGGATTTGTCATAGCCTTTGGATACAGCACATTCTTACAGGTCTACATTAAACTGTATGTCTTATTGTCTGTCCTGGTGATGTCCATGGTGGGGTATGGAATAGTTGAGTATATGGAATCAAAGGAGTCTCCTAGACCACCCACCCCAGTATCGAAAGAAATAACAGGAGCCCCAGCCCAAGAAACACCCCTGTAACCCAAAGGATCAGGGTAGTGAAGACAAGTCACCTCACTGCAACAGGTTTTTAAAAGGAGATTCCAAGGTGCTCAATCAATTTTTAGGAAGAATTTAAAAGAACTGATTTTTTTTCAGGGTCAGTGCAGTATAAATACATAAGAACCAAAGCTTATTCAATACATCTGTTTTTTTAAGGGTTATCTGACTTTACCACTACATGTAAAAGTTTACTAATAACCATTAAAAAAACCGTGTTGGATTTTTTTACAAAAAAGAATAATAAATATGAAAAAGACTGTTGTATTCTGTGTTATATTTTATGTACCCTTGAATCAATCATGGTACAAAAAGTTTACATCCAATAGTACAATGTGTACAAAGTATACTCTTCAGTTCCCACAAAAGTCAGTAGGAGTAAAGGGTCCTTGACTGTTCACAAGGGACTGGATCCTTATTAACAGCTATCCTGTAGCAACATAACTGTACAGCTTAATGAGCACTGGCCCACTTCCATGCAAGGCTTCACTTGCTTGCTGTCTATGCACAATGTAACAATGTGGTTACTCACTGGCCAAGTATCTCTGACAATATTGGTCTTATCCTACCTTTTTAAAACACTTGCTACTATATAAATGCAGTTACTAGTAGCAATTGTAACAACAGCAGAACTGTAATCATCCTCTTTATGAGGTGGACAAAATGCCAAGAGAAATTGAAGATTTGCCAACCTCTACCATTAGTGTCTGTCTGAAAATGAACTGCATTACAGCATTAGTTATATTGTGTTATGTCACAAAACTATCATATGAGATTACAGTGCCATAGCAAGGAAGTTTGGCACCCTGGGCTAGCCCACAGTTGCTGCCCGTCCTCACCCCATGCACAGATCCAGGGGGGCACCCCCCCACCATGCTTGCCCGGGCGTGCGTGCAGCAGCGAGAGCCACCCTCCCCTCATCCCAGTGCCCCTCAAACGAGTAGCTTGAGGCTCTGTCCCATGCCCCGCCCCGGCTGGGCATTGGCGCCACTTCACTTTGGCGCCCAGGGCGGTCGCCCTGTGTTACCAAATTTGCCCATTACTTTGGGGTGTGCTCATTTATTAGGGATCGTTTCTAGGGTCTTGGTGATTCTGTCAATGTGCTGCTTGTGTTACTATACGGAGCTGTATCTCTCCCTTCTGCAAGCCCTCACCCCCAGTGGAGCTATCTTGCAGGACTCAATCTCAATGGGACTGGGTTCCTCCAGTCACCAAATCAGTCATACACACACAAATTAACGTGACACGCCTGACCTGCTGACCTGGCCGGGCTGATCAGCATGGACAGGCTGACACCCTCATATGCCAAGAATCAGTTCATAAGAGCAACAATAAAATGCAGTCAGACACAAGCACACAGGTAAACAGAATCCCTCTGAATCCGGCTGGGTGTCCAGCTGACACCCTCATGGGCCAGCATTCAGTTCATAAGGGCACGTCTGAGTCAAACTGGGTCAATCAGCCTGTACAAGCTGATCCCCTTATGTGTTTCAAACTCAGCACGTCCCAATCTTTGGCCTCTTGATGAGCAGACCCCACAATAATTTGGGCTTCACAGGGATCTTTAGCATAGGTAAAAGAAGCGTTGCTGCAGAGCACGGGAGGAAAGAGAAGCAGAGAAGGAAAAATATACCCAATTACTACCAGTTTGACTATAAAAGTTATTTATTGCTAAGCATATGAAATATATAATAGTACTAGTAGTAATAGACATGCAAAAGAAAAACAAACACCAACAATGACAATACTACCCTGGTTTCACTAAGTATTTGGGGAAACTTAGCTCAAGCTTAACTGATACAGTTCAGGTTCAGAAGTTTATGCCTAGAAAGAAGACAGAGAACGCTGGGATCTCACCTAGTCCACGGTACTCAGGCTGCAAAGCTGACAGGCACAGTCCGTAGCACAATCCTTGAAGAGAGAGATGATCTGTTCTTCCAGCGTCCCAAGAACGACAGGGGATGGTGTCAGCACAGGGGTTTTCTTCTTCTCCTTCTTTCCTCCTGCTTCTACTTCTTTTCCTTCCTTTTCCTCTTCCTCTTCTCCCTCTAGCAGCACACACACTTACAGATTTTTATACCCTCAGTTCAGCTGCTTCGAAGCACCCTCAGTAGTGTAAATCATTGTCTTTTCTATTGACAAGGGGTTATCTGGTTTGGACCATCTCAGGAAACTGATTGATAATCAGGAAACACTTAAGATTAGGGAGTAACCCAAATACTTGGGAGCCAGCTTGAAATTCCTATGGGTGGCAGATATACTGATGGGATATCTCATGGTTTCTTCAGGAACAATAGATAGCTTGCAGCATCAGGATTTTGGATTTTTACTTGTTGTGCACAAGCCTCAGCTTAGCATGACTTTTCCAGATCTTACTATAGTCTTTTAACAGACTTAAGACAATTATTGGGGTGCTCATAACCTTTTGTGGAGAGGACTCCCACCAGTCGTCTCGGGAAAGATATGACAACACCTGGGATTAGGGCTCCAGCAGGCTGGATGCTGTGATGAACCCTTAACCATTGTTCAAATGTTGCCCATACCCCCTCTGACTCGGTCTCTTGCCTCAGCATTCCCTAACCCGGCAACCGAGTTTTAGTCAATCAAGTTTAAATAGGCCTCCCATAGTGGGACCGGGGAATGTACGGCCCGAGATGCCTATTAAACTTAGAGCTGTGTGTGTGTGTCTGGGGGGGAAAAGTCCTTAGTAAATCCAGATTAGAACTGGTCTGATAAATGCTGAGCTGGGTGTGTGTGAACATGGGTTGATTAACATTGGAAGCACAGATTCCCCATCATGCAGCGCTCTCCTGCTTCTCTGGTCCCAGAATTCACTGCAGTCTCTGCTTCAGGCTTTCTGTTTTCCATCTCTCATGTAAATGAGACCTAGGGCAGTTGATTCACTCGTCACCCTTATCTGGTGAGGGTCTTAGGTGCGTCTCTCACTGCATCTTAATCAGTTTCGTTTAGGTAGAGGAGGGGAGGGGGGGGTGAGTCCTTTGTGAGTCAAACAGGCTGCATCCTGTGCCAGGGTTGCCCAAGAATACAGAGCTGAGGCGTAACACCTGGTCACCCCCCTTGCTACGGCACTGTGAGACTAAGAGGTCCAGTTATTAACCATGCCAAGAGAGCAAGGCATTGAGGAAGCAGAAGAACTTGTAGATGTAACAATATCCTCAATAATCAAATTCATAAAGACAAACCTGGAAGTGTTTTTTCTGTACCACTGCCATCCCTCAAATGATACCTTTTTGCATCACAATTCCTATGTAGATTTCACCTGTGTTTCTGTACAGCCTTTTCTATTACAAGTCACTTTCCCACATAGTGAATGAAGGTCCCAGGGGTATAGGAAAAGATAGTCCCTGCCCAAAGAGTTTACAGCTTAACACCATGGGCAGAAGCCTTCAGCGTACCCACCATCATCAAGCAGCAATTAGGCAGCAATACTTGAGCCCTCACTCCTCAGCCAGTCATGAGACACTTGTGACCACTGCCCCCCACCACACCTTTGGCCATCCCAGTGCTAGTCATATAGGGCATATGGGAAGGACCCTTTTTTCGCCTCTTCTGGACAGCAAAGCTAATGTCTAAGTTTTCTTTTTCTTCTCCTCAGGTTGACTTCCCTTTCTCTCCCTTCTCACCTTATAAACTCTGCCCATTCATTTTCCTTATTCACTGAGGCTGCAAACCAGCATGAGTTTCCTGCATCCACTGTTCAAAAAATGGCCCCTGATGTAGGACACAAAATGTTGTGCATGCAACACCCAGCATGGACTTCTCAAGCACTTAGATAGGTGAAACACATACAAACCTCATTTTGCTGTACTGTACCTGCATGTAACTTCAATATCTTTCAACCCAATTCTCACTGACGCATGGACACATTCGTATCTGTTGATACAGCAGTTTTTCCCCTACAGTACCCAGCACCATGGATTTGAAACACTTTCTAGGTAATTAAATCCCTCTTTTTCTTGACAAATTGTTGTGGACACAGCTGGAGCAAAATTAAGTAATGAAATTAGAATGGGATATTAACGACAACATAAATCCCAGCTAAGATTTCAAGGGCCTGACCAAAGCAGTACGCAACTGGCACCAGGGGGATTTCAGCACCAGTGAGACAGTCAGAATTGGAAGGATAGCATTCTGGCTGTAGCACTGGATTGGAGATTTGGTAACTGGCTATACCCTAGATTGGAGCAAATCACTTGATCTTACAGTGCCTCAGTTTCCCATATTTAAATGAGGATAACATCTTTGTTCCTGCAGGGGTATTGTGAAGCCAGGTTCAGACAGGTCATGGGAGCCATATAGCCACCTGGATAGATAGTGTGTTTGAGAATTCTTAGGACAAAATGAGGTGAAATGTATGACTTCCTCAGGGTTAAGCTATAGTGAGATGCTGTTAGAGGAAGCTACCAAACCTGTATAATGAAATCTGAAGTTTTTGGTTAGGAAATAAATGTAGAGATTCAAGAAGTGATCTGACACTGCAGTAGTTTAATATAAAATAGCAAACTGATATTGTGTTGCATTCTCAGAGCATCAAAACAGAAGGTGAAGAGCTAAGGCAGAGAAATCCCTATCTTATATCAAGAGAAACAAAATTCTGGTTGATGCTCCTGTGGTATGAGGTTTCTTTATTGGAGGAACATCCCATGATCCTGGGTTTGGCTGACTGCGTCTGCACATCCCAATTACCAAACACTTGACTAAACACCCAGCTATTACCTAGTGGGTAGCAGCAACCATTTTCATTCCACTGCAGTATCAGTCTCACTCTGCTCGTGTGACTCTAATGAAAAACCATTCTGGTGGTATGCTGCGCACTCCCACTGGGTACATGGTTCAGGGATTTAAGTTACTGGAAAGAGAACCTCAGGGGGAGGGGAGAGGGAAAGGAACAAAGGATGTAGAAATACATATTCAATGTAGCAACAACTAAATTTTAAGACACAGTTGATACTGAGTGGAATCCTCTATCCTAAGGTGGGAGCCTATATCAAGTACAAAGAGAGTTAAGCACTTAAAATGGGATTCATAGAAGCCAGCAAGCTGATAGCAAATAGCAGAGGTGTTAGGGTCGACCCTTAACGGGACTTACAAACCTAACTCT